GCCTTACACGCTCACGCTACTGAATGCTGAAACAGAACTGCTGACAATAACAGCTGCATGAATATTACAGGGGGTGGGGGGGTAGATGGGGCAGATTGACTTTTATGTATAATATCCCTGCAGGTCTTAATTCAGAAGAAATTCACATGTGGCTGGAAGGCTGGAATTATGTTAATGTAGACATTTGGGTTGCAAATACTCATGTAAATGTACATATTCGCATGAATATTCACAGTCTGCAGGAAGAACTTCAAGTGCAGTGGATGTAAAAAAAAAAACTGCCTTGTACATGCCACAAATAAAAGTCGACGCTATACTCTAATGCGCTCCCATGTTGTGAATGTCCCACCCTGCCTGGTTGGATGGATCCAGGTCTTTGTGAGCTCACAGATGCTCAATAATTAAACAATTTGTTGTTGATCCCAGAAAAGTATGGCATCAACTAAAATTCCCAACAATTAATAACATGGCAGGAAAGAGGTGCCCTGCGGAGGATAGTGAAGGGAGCTGAGAAGGTCATTAAAGAGTCTCTGCTTTCTCAGTAGGATCTATTTCAGAGCCGCTGCAGAAATAGGTCACTGAAGTATGTTGAACTAGACTGCACAGAGTTCTACCTGAAGATGTTAACATGCTTTGCTGCTGTTACAATCTGGATTTTAAATGATTTAGGCGAGAAAAAAAAAGACTTATTTGGTATTTTAGGAATATAGATTGTATCTTAATTGGCCTACATATAGAATCTGTACCAAATATAAAATAAATGAAACTTGTTGCCTCACTGATAAGCTCAAATGCTACAACCCCCCAGTCCCAGGAGAAGCAGAATCACTGCTTCATTCATTCATTCATCTGAAGTGTCCTGGATTTGCTGGTGTAGCACTGACGCTCCAGTTAAGTAGTCTTTTCAATCGCTCACATCAGCAGGTCATTGATTTTTTTTTTCTTTCTCTCTGTAGAAATTGAGTTCATAGAAGGAGGGTAGTAGTGGTGGGGAGGGTGCGAGTTCTGAGCATTTTCTGGCACAAATCTGTCTTTAAATCTCCAACCTCTCCAAAAAAAAAAAAAGAAGAAGGAGAGAGTCTCAGGCCTCCGGCTTAAGAAATGAAACAAAGCTTTTATAGATACTAGCAGACTTACTGTGTCCACAGATTCAAACAATCCAGACTATATATATATATATATATATATGTATTTTTTTTTTCTCACATATAAATATATGGGCGAATCACATGGCATCTGCCACTGGATTCTAATCCGCTCCCTCCTCCCTCTCAATCTGGTGTCAGACTCCAGTGGAAATGGTACGGCGGCTGGAGAATACAGGGGGAAACTAGGACAGATCCAGCTCCAGAGGTCAAAGGTCAGTATAGTGGCACAGATGATGATGTAGGAAGCCAGTCAAAGTAAGTCAACGTCGGTTCTTAACATAAAACTCTTCAAATGCTGCATGAGACTAACATAACAAAATCAATTACTTAATTTTTTTTACCACACATTTAATCCTTTTCTCACAAATCACCAAGAATTAGACGAGTTTATTTACCATTTTAAAGCTTTGCATATATTTGACCCATATCTGACACGGGTCTTCCCTCGCAGCGGTGTTGTTGATGTCCAGCTGCTAACTTTATTACTGCACATATTAAATGTGCTATAGATGCACCGCCAAAATGCACTGATGTTTATCGTAGGTGGCTTATCTCCTCAAATGTGCTTAGTGTGAGTCCTCAGGGTGCGCCGGGCAGCCACCCAGGCCAGATGTTGGGGGTCTGCCATCAAAGTGAAATCAGTAATAAATAAATAAATAAATAAATAAATAAATAAAGCAACTTTTATAATATTTTTCAAGGTTTTATTGCTCAATATAAAAGCCTAAATTTGGGGTAACAGGAATAATGTTTACCCTCTAAGCTAATAGCCCGAAAGAAGTGATTTTAGGGATTTAAAAAAAATAATAATAAATAAAAGAAATATGCATTCTGACATTCAGCTGCATGGTTGAACATACCGTGCGGGGACAGACAAAGCACGTCAACGGCACGTTCAGAGCACTTTTCCCTGTGTCGCACTCACGTGAAGACGAAGAACATGGATGTGGAGCCGACCAGGAGGCAGGCGGCCGTGCACACCGGGATGAAGGCGCTGGGCTTCAGCGAGTCGGCGCCGCTGGCGGGCATCCTGTCCTCTCCGCGCTCATCGGGGTCTCACGCCGGCCGAAGGAACCGCAAACGGTGGCCTGTTTAGCCCTTCATACATAGCAGACGGCGTGAAAAGTGAATTCATAGCGTGAGGAGGAGGGGGAAAAAATTACTAATAAAGAAAGAAAAACAGTCTCCGAAAGCATAAGACCCGCAGCTCCGCAGATCGGTCCCGCATCCCCCGTCCCGACTAGTCCAACAGGCTGGCGCACAGATGCGGCTGTACCAGAGGTGGTGCTTCAACTCATGAATGACGTGAAGCGACTCTGACTGAGACCCCCTGCTGTGACCCGATGAACTACTTCACTTCCTATTAGATAGATAGATAGATAGATAGATAGATAGATAGATAGATAGATAGATAGATAGATAGATAGATAGATAGATAGATAGATAGATAGATAGATAGATTTCAAATCTCACAGATGTAAACACATGAAGCTACTTGAGAGATTCTGCCTTCCTCTCCTCTGCGGGGCAACCTGACAGGAAATACTGTTTGGACCTGAAGTTGTTGGGTGGGGCATCTCTGCTCTCTATAAATGCCTGAAGCTTTCTTCAGACCGTACAATCTGTGTAAAACCCTCTACATCACTGTAGCTGGTGCCTGATCCAGTGACAGTATGGATGCAGATAAGTTAGTTGAATCCATCGTCAGAATACTCATGTTCATTGCAGGCATCCTGGGAAACAACTGGCTGGCGATAGCCTCTCTTCCCAGAAAGAAATCTGAAATCCGTACCAATGAGATCCTGTTAATCAACCTGGCCGTCTCCAACCTCATTACCAACTACCTAGTGGACATCCCTGTCACCATGGAAGACTTTGCTGGCCAATGGCTCTTGGGACTGACCTTCTGTGGCATTTTTCGCTTCAGTGCTGACCTCTCAGAGACCAGCAGCCTCTTCACCACCATCATCATCTGCGTCTTTTGGCACCAGAAGCTGGTTGGTTCTCTCAAGCGTGGAGGTGCCCCTGTGCAGCTGGACAACCTGCGTCTGCTGGGGTGTCTACTGGTCGGGAGCTGGACGCTGTCCGTCGTCCTCAGCATGCCTCGCCTCTTCTTCGTTTCACTGGAGGTGACAAATGAGAGCCTTGAACACTGCGTAGATGTCTTCCCCAATGTGCTTTCCAGACAAACATATGAGGTCTTTTTCTTATCACTGGCTAATGCGTTGCCTATTGTAGGGATCTGGGTTGCAAGTATCCAAATTGTCTTAGCTTTGCTCCAACATCACAAGCGCATACAGAGCTCTTCCTCTCATCGGGTCAAGGTTAAACAAGACAAGTCAGAGAGGTCAGTCAGCAGTGTTTCTGTTCAAGACTCCCATAAAGACCTCAAAGAGTCTTCTTCACCAGCTGAGCGTGTTTCTTCTTGTCCAAATGGAGAATGTCTGGGTAAAAGTCCACAGAGTTCTCCCTTAGCCAACAAAACAGATTCCAGAGCAGAAGCTCAACCAAACCACTCAAAGTCCAACCAGATACCCTCGAAGCAGAGTAACAACACAAGCTCTCAGGTGAGGGCAGCAAAGAGCGTGGTGGCTGTGGCCACTGTGGTCCTCCTCTGTTGGATGACTCATCTAATTCTGCGCATCAGCAACAGCATCCAGGATTCATCACTGATGATGGAGCTGGCCAGTTACATCGGAGCCGCCTACACCTGCATCATCCCTTATATTTTTCTGCATGGAGTGAAAAAACTGTCTTGTTCATGTAAATGATAGGAAATGTCAAACGGGACGTCCACGATGCCACAGTTAAGTTCAAGAATATTCTTAAACCTGGTAGTGCTCGATTTAAAGTAATATTTTAATATTTACCAAACTGTTTCTTCTGACTGGAAGTGACGTTTATGTTTTTGATTTGAGGATCCATGGACAGATCCAGGTTTTCCAACCTAAATGACTCAATGGAGCTCTGACCCACACAAATCATCAAAGCATAATTTGAGCAGAAGTTATCAGAAGGGTTTGTTTGTTTGCTGTAATGCCACTCCTACTACTACTAATATTAAGTTTAATAGCTGATGTAGATCAAAGTGAATTTAAAGTTTTGAAGAGATTAAGAAGGTAGTGTAATGGCTGCTTTAACATTTTTGAGCGACTAATTGAATTAAAAACCCTACTATTGATGGCTATAATGCTGCGATGTGGCTGATAATACATAGTGCATCAATTTAACATAATCAAATGCTAAATATGGAAATCACTAGATTTATTACACCTTCATAGACTTTCATCCTTTACAAGATTATTTTGAAAAAAAAATCATCCCTACATAACTAGACATGGTAAATAAAGCAAATGACTTTTCAGACTTCGTATGAACCATGCTATGAATTTATTGTGCCTTTCTGTTAATACTTTCATACAGCAAGATACATTTAGAAAATGCTAGTTGGAAAGCTGAATTTTAAATACTGTTAATTGTATTCTGTATATATTATTCCAGTTTAGGCTGGAAGACTTACAGTTGTAAACAAATCGTTCATAATCTTAGCTGCACTCCACAATATGTAAGGCGGAAAATAACCTAAAAATCTCAAGTCTCAGTTCTGCACAAATATTTAACCTCTACTAAACTATTAGTCTTTTCACCTTACAAGTTTAAAGATTATATCCAAGTCTATTTTTAAAAATGTTAGAAATTAAACATTGTGTTTTTGTGCTCAAGGAAACTGCAATTTATGTCCACACAGCAACAAAATGAGTTTATTTTCCATGAGAATACAAATTAACCATAATTATGCACTAGAGAGCAGCTAATTGGAGACCGACACTAATTAGCACCTTGTTAGTCATTACTGTAGGAAATCCTGAGTGAGGTTTCAAATTAAAGATAACTGCATTGCATGACCAGTGTCACATTAAAGGAGCAACCTGCTGCCCTTCACATCTAATTACTCCAGCAACTTAACATAAGGTCATGCTTTAATAAGAAGAGATCCACAGAAGTCACAACAAGTTAGATTTCTTTCTAAAAATGTTTTATTAGCCCAGCCAAAATTAGGTCTGATTTTTTTTTTTTTTAGTGTAGGTGAAATTATGAACAGCACCAAGTCAAATAGTTGGAAAAAGTCTTATTCATAATGGCACAGTTTTAATATCCAAACAATCATTTTCTGTTAACCCACAGGTTTGCAAGAGAGGTTTTGCAAAGATAATGTTAAAGCCAAGGTATGTACATAAATACAAAATAAACTGATAAAACAGTCAAAACCTTGTGATGCTTGAATCGACTCTGTCCCGAAGTGAGACTCAAATTGAGCTAGCTTTTGATATATGCAACAGATAAACACATTATTGAAAGCCCCTCCATTTCTAGATATCAAACAGCTATTCGCAAACAATGCAAATTACAAGCAGTCTTTTCAAAACTCCGCACAATATTCAAACTAACAAAAAAAACGGTAGGAAATAAGTTATAAAACTTGTCACTTTGCCAGTCTCTCATCACAACAAAAACGATGCCAAGTGTCTTTGTTTAAAGGCCATCAGAGTACGAGCCAGAGGTCAGCCAAATGTTTATTGATGAAGGTTGTGGCTCCTGTCAATGGAGCTTCTCCAGCTTGGCCTGCAGGGACTTGAAGTTGCCGATTATTTGCTGAAGGGCCGAGTTTGGGCTTAAAGACTGCAGCTCCACCAGGTATCCGCAGATGTTGTCGAGGCAAACGTTGGTGAATCGGCGCCTGGAAAATATCACACGACGATAACAGCAGCCTGATGATGCAGATTCATCGTCATACTTGTTTCACAAATCACTACGGTACAGTTATTTACCCAAATGCTGGCTCAACCACAATATTACAACATATAGACATGAAGTGAATGGATTTGTGAAAATGTTCAATAAACTTTACACAGAGAGTAGATCTGACTAAATGCAAACTCATTTTTACAGAAAAATGATCATCATAATGACCAGTTGTTTTTTTTTATGTATCTTTATTTCCTCATAGTCTGCAATTTTTACACACAACCAATCTGGATTGAGGGAAAAGCAAAATTGTATCTTAAATTCTGCAAATGCAAAAAAGGACATTGCAACCGTCACCACCCACAACTTAAAAACCTCAGTTTTTTCTTACGTCGCCCACTATAGGCAAGGAGGTGAAGTGACAGTTAGGTCTGTCACAATAATCAATTAATTGCATGATAAATTAAAACAAACTGAATTATTTCAACTGGCATGATTTATTGTTTATCTCTTTTCTTCTCTCCCATCAAAAACTGGATGATAAAAGTCTTCAGTTTGATGGTCTGGTCTCAACTAGCTCTTTTTTTGAAGGACAATTTTGTTTACAAAAACTTCAAAATTCGTTTTATTTGTTGTTTTGTTTATTTATTTTGGATATTTGAAATTTCTTCCAGGTCTACTGTTAAATGTTCATTAGAATTTAACGTTTGCTAATCTTTTAGGATGCGCTCTTGCAGTATTATTTTGCCATTACCATTGTATTACTTAAAAATGGTCTCAAAACAACAATATTATTGTTTATCGCAATAACTTCTGGAACAATTTATCGTCCAGCAAAGTTTGTGCTGACCTGTCATATGTTGCCACTCTGCTGGGGTCGTCCACATATCCTGAGAGAAGCACATGGATGCACTCCACCAAATGTAGAGGTTTCCTCAACCGAAGCCAGCAGGGATCCTAGGCAACAGCGATCACATTATTTATTGAGGAACATTGTATTATCCATTCATGTTCAAGACAAAATCTGAACTGAAGGGAAATACCCGGGATTTGAAGAGCTGATCGTAAACCTCCAGAAGCCGTGGCAGCTGTACTCCGATCTCCAGCATCGTAAACGTGACAAATCCCACATCCCAGTTCAGTCGGCAGACTTCCTGCTCCAGAAACTTTACAAGAAACTCTGCAATCATAACACATCGCTCCTCGTTAACACGGCACACTCGTCATGTTGGCACCTGGGGAAAGAACTGTTTATGTCCCAAAAAACCAAAGACAATCTTCCTCGAATCAACGTCTCCACAGACATGACATGTTTGAACAGGCTGCTTGTAAAATGTGGATAATTAAGAGCATGAGCAGTTGTTTGGTTAAACAGACCTGCGCCTCGGGGACACGCTCACTTAAAACACGCAGAAAGGATGCCTAATTATAATACTAAATTGCAAACAACAATCCTAAAACTGAACATGACTGAAACATACCCAGAGGGAAGTATCTGGGTGTTCCAGCGTAAATCTTCCCCAGTGTAACCAGTTTCAGATTGAGGGACCTCATCCTGTCTGCTGGACTCATGGCCACACTGTCGCTCAGCTCTGGAAGACAAAACACCCGAAGAGTAAGGGACGTGTGTTGAATAGAGACAAAGAAGAAATATTCCACAGGATCTTGATTTTAATTCACCTTTTTCCAAGATCTCCTGCCATAGCGAGTGGACAAGGATTTGGTCAGAGTGTCCTGCACAGTGGATTATGGCCAGCTTGCACTCGGACAGTTTATAATGGTCAGCAAACTCTCCGTAGAGCTGTGTGGCAGAAAAAAAAAATAAGATAATTTTACATTCCCAATCACAAGATTCATACACTTTTCCCACAGTAAAATTTAAGCACTTTCCAGGTTCGATTTGAAACTTTTCCAGCGCCAAACTTTGGAGATGGAACCAATAAAAATGAACTACAGAAGCTACATTCTACAGCAGACGCAAGGTGAAGTAAAATATAGCACAATTTTATGTTTTGAAATGTCTCAATCACACATGATCATAAATGATCTTCCTGCTCCTATTAAATGCTTAAATACAATCTACAAAGAAAGTTACAAAAGCAACAATGAAATGTTCCCACAAAGTTTTCTGGCATTTAGCAAATAGAAATTAATTTTTGTAATTCCAACAAGAAAAGTTTAAATTAACTTCACACAGTGAGAAGATCAATTTGAACATCTTTTTTATTAGGAGTATGAAAACATCTGGTTTCAACTATAAATAAAGTTTTCCAAGTTTAGGCTTTCAATCAAACGTTAAATTGCAGTTTATTAGAAAACTGTGCCGTTAGAATATTAAGCACTTTGAAGGACTTTACACAGAAATCAAGCACTATCCAAATAACTGAAATTCAAGCATTAAAGGATCTTAAGCACCCATGTGAACCCTGCGATCAACAGTAAAAATTGTATTTGGAGGTACCTTTGTAATGTCCATAAGCTCAGAGTCTAGTTGTGAGATGGCGTTTTTCACTGAGGGATGACTGGAGTACTGTCTGATCAGGGTTTCCTGGATCTGCAGTTGAATGCGGACAAGCTGGAAGAAAGTGGAAACATGCAAACATTAAAGAAGCTCCCAAAGTGATCTCAGGTTAGGACGCCTCGTGGCTTTCAGCCAGGCTGACGTACCTCCATCTTTTCCTCCAGTTCGTGAAGGAATTCTCCGTCAGACGCCTGAGCAGAGATGCAGGAGGAACTCTTTGCAGACAGGATGGCTCGAGCAATGTACTCCAGACGCTGCTTCAAGGAGATCTCAGTGCTGGAACATCCAAGTGAAAAAAAAATCATTAAAAACTTGATGTGAAAAAAGAAAACACAGGTAAAACTTTTCTCCTGTTCTGCTCAGACCTGTGCATGTCAGCGAGGCGGGCCAAGACGTGAGCTGCTTTGCCAAAGTTGCGGTTCTTCTCGTAGTAGCGCCACAACAGGTCCATGTTGTGAACCTTGCTCTGGTCCTGTTTTATTATATGCATCAGGTGTTCTTCAAGGTAAGGGGAATTCACCTGGGAAACAGAAGTCAAAAAAGGTTCAAGATTTATGGGGATTTTAAAAGAATACAAATAGGTAGGTATACATTCGAGCATTTCATCCAGAGTGAAAATGTCAAATGTGTGCGCCCAAACTTGCTTAAAAAAAAAAAGGAA